GATGCTAATGGTCACGGTCATAACCGGTCATAACCGTGACCGATATCGGTCGGTCAAAGGCATCTGACCGAACGGTTGACCGACCGATTCTGACCAGTTTTGACCGACTGGACCTACTCTTGGGACTGTCAACCATGAAAAAACACTTTGTATAAACTAGCAAAAATCAACATTTTATTTTAATTATCTATAAATTAAAATTTTGAAATTTCGAAAAAAAATTAAAGTCCGCGATAATGCTGCGCCACTAAATAAAAATGACAAAGTAGTTTTAAAAAATGCCATGCTATAATTGTATAATATTTGGCTAAATTTTATTACTATTAACCAGTCAGTTAAATCGATCAATTAAACCGGTCGGTCGGTCAAAGAACTTTGACTGATCGTTGACCGACCGTTTTAAATAAACTTTATAAAAAATAATAAAAAATAGAAAAATAAAAATTGGTTAGCTAGACGGTTCACGATTGATAAATATTTTATTTATAAAATGTAGTTTTTAACATATTATTAAATAAACTGATAATCATGCATTCCAATCGATTGACTCACAATGATAAAATATATCATACGTTTAGCAAGACAAAATAGTGTGAATAGTTATGATCTTTATATTCGACTCGCCATATTCCGGAGGGTTTTCCGTTGTCTTTCCCAGAATTTCAATATAGTCTAATAAATGGTTTATAATTTCGTGATCCTAACATCCCTGTAAAGACAATTTATAAATATTCTAATTTTGTGATTAAGTAAGAATATTTTATTTTCGATATGCTAAATTTTTTGATATATCGTTAATCTTGTATTTAAATTTTGTGGTACATATAAAAATACACAAAATTAAGATTTTAAAAATGAAGTCGATGATTGAAATTTTTAATAATCTAATAAATATAATGTATATGTATTATTATAAATTTAATCACTACCTCTTTGCTACTCAAAAGAAGTATCGCAACATTCTGCAATGCCGGTCCATTAATAATGTTTGCTTTCTTCGTCAACAAATTTAAGCCCTGAGGATTCTTCATATTGCCGGAG